CAACCTGAATAATCACTGGGGTGAGGTCCACGCTAAGCGCGCCCGTGGGCCGAAGTCTGAGGAGGTTAAGCACTGGCTGTTTCAGGAGGTTCAGCAGGTCTCGCCTGGGATCCAGTGGAGGCCCATGTATCACGAGTTCGTAGGTGTTCTCGCCGCCAGAAAGGGATCTGCCCCAGGTCCCGACGGCATTGGATATGCCGCGTGGAAGGCGGGCGGCGAGCTCTGCCACCAGTGCCTGCCCTCCCTCTACTCTCACCTTTTGGACAGTAATGAGATGAAGGAGGGTTCAACAATACCTTCACGGTCTTTATCCCGAAGGCGGGGGAGGGAGGTGATCAAAGTCCAGGTTTGGAACTCTCTCGGGCTGCTGAAGCTACTCGTCCTATCTCTCTCTCCAACTGCGACAACAAGGTGCTGGCTGCTGCTCTTGCCGATCCGCTCGCTGTGCAGGCTCCGCACTCTGTCTCTCCCACCCAGAAAGGCTTTGTCAAAAAACGCAACATGCTCGACCATATCTTGGAAATTGAGTCCCAACTATTAGATTTCTTCTCATTTCAAGACTGTCAGCGAGCAGGGCTTTTCCTGCTCGACATCGCTGCTGCGTTTCCGTCGCTCGATCACGACTGGATCTTCGACTGCCTGTCGAAGCTAGGTGTGCCGAGGTATTTTCTCTTTGCCATCAGTGAGTTGTATAAGGACGTGGCCACAGAGATTGCTCTCCGAGGGCAAGTTTTTGCTGGCTTTCGGACCCTCCGTGGGGCGAAGCAAGGATGTCCGCTGAGCGGGGTGATTTTCGCGTTGTGTTTCGATCATCTGGTTCGGCATTTGGAAAAAGCTCTGTGACCACATCCAGGCAGGCCGTTCGCTTTCGCTGACGACATAGGTGTGCTCTCCAAGGATTTGCCGGTGTCTCTCCCGATAGTCGCGTGCCTCATGATGAAGGCGGCCTCGGTCACAGGCCCATTGCTTAACCCGAAGAAGTGCGCCATCGTCTTCCCAGGCGGCCTCGAGAAGGCCGAGATCGTCACCATGTTCCAGGGAGTCGGGCCCAATGCATCGTTATTCCAAGCGGGAACTTCGGCCAGGTACCTGGGGATGTTTCTGGGGCCTGGTGGCCCTGAGCGGAGCTGGATCGGACCCCTGCGAAAGCTCAAAAGTCGGCTTCAGTACATTCGAGGTCTTGCCCTGGGTCTAAGTCAGAATATTTACGCCTACAACACGTTCGGGGTTCCTCTGCTCAGCTTTCCTGCTCAATTTCTTCCAGCGCCAGCCGCTGTTCTCCGTGCCGAGCGCGACGCCCATCAGTTCGGACGGCAGGCCCGAGGTGGGCAGTGCCATCTTTCGTGCTGGCGCACACGGACGAGATCGGTCCGCCTGTCCGGTTCCGCTCGGTCACCCTTGAAAACCAAGCAGCAATGTATCGCGTGTGTCTTCGGTCCGAGGCTTTCCCTCGTATATACGCTCGCTGGCGCGAACTCCGCGATGATGAAGTTGACCGTCTTGCTGTGCCTCGGATGGCCGATTGGGTTCGAGAGTCCATGACTGGGTCCTTGTGTAATATGTTTGAACGTTTTCAGGCTATCCACATCATCCCCTCCGACCCCGACATGACCCTGCTCCAGAAGAGGATCATCAAGGTGCTCAAACATCAAGAATCTCTGAGTCGGGCCCCTGTGTCAGTTGCTCTAATCCCTAGGCTTAGGAAGGTTTGGCCCGATATACAGGTGTGGCATTATGACCGAGTTTTCCGTTTTTAAAAGTTGCTGGAAACATCGCCCCCTTCGTGTGCGCCGCCTATTTGAGATCCGTGTGCAACGGCTGGTGCACCTCTGCCCGATACAACCAAGGTCGCCAAGTCTGCCGTTTTGGATGTAACGCGATGGGTGGCGATTATGTATTGCATGATCTGTCCTGTCCGCCTTTGCTCTCTCAGTTTCCTCGTCTCCTTCCTGGTCTTCCCGAAGATTATTGCGCTTGGTCGCCCGAAGATAGACTGCTGCTTTGCCTTCGGCCGCCCCTGGAGGGTGTCGCTCTCCGCTCCGCACTGCTCGCGCATGGACTTGCAATCTCTGCGTTCAATTTCCTCCGAGCTCACAAGAGATGCGGACAAGAGGCACTATCTTCCCTTCTTTCCGCGAGGGCTCGTGTCATTGCGAAGAAGAGGAAGGCGGTGCGAGCTCTTTTAAATCGACCAGACCACTGAGGAACGAGTGGATCATCGGGACACCGACGGGACACCGGCTGGACACCAGCGGGACACCGCGCGGCAACGGCCCCCGGAAAGGAAACATTTGGTCCGGCCGCGCTTCAGCCGCAGGCGGGACACCAGCGGGACACCGCGCGGCACCGGCCCCCGGAGAGGAATCATTTGGTCCGGCCGCGCCTAAGCCGGAGGAGACTTTCTTCTCGCCCGCCCACGCAGCTTCGCCTCGCCCGCACGCACGGCACGCACGAACACGAAACCGAAACCGATTTCCCGGTAGGGGGGCTCTCCGTCCCACTTCGATCTCACCCCCTCACCTCCGATGCCGTTATTTGCTCCTCGAAAACAGTCCCACATTTCCGTTACCCCTCACACTCTCTGCTTTCCCCAGCGTTTCCGCACTTCCGCCCAGGGACCGAAGGCAGGAGCCCACAGCGGCGTGTTTCGGGTGGACCCATGCGCACAGGCCCCTGCTCCCCCCAGGGAGGTCGGCCTCTGCTCGTGCCGCGGACACGGCTCTTTGGCCCGCCCGTCGCGCAGCGTCCGTGCGAGATGTTTTGCCCTCTGCGTTGTCGGGGGGCGGATGTCTGGGCCTTTGGCACTCCTCCTCCTCCTCCTCCTCCTCCTCCTCCTCCTCCTCCTCCTCCTCCTCCTCCTCCTCCTCCTCCTCCCCTCCTCCTCCTCCTCCTCCTTTTGCTCCTCCTCCTCCCTTCCTCCTCCTCCCCCTCCTCCCCCTCCTCCTCGCCCCCCTCCACCTCCTCTCTCCCTCCTCCTCCTCCTCCTCCTCCCTCCTCCTCCTCCTCCTCTCCTGCTCCTCCTCCTCCTCCTCCTCCTCCTCCTCCTCCTCCTCCTCCTCCTCCTCCTCCACCTCCTCTCTCCCCCTCCTCCTCGAGCACGACGATGGTGGACAGTTCAAGACCAGCGCAAACATCCCCAAACTCACGAGGCATCGAGACTTGCACCCACTGTGTCATGAGGTCGCCCATATCCCGTGCTAGTACCTGGGCGTGCCAAGCGGGCGCGTGGTCCGGGTAATCGATAATCGTCATGTGTTCACTTCTCCTCCTCCTCCTCCTCCTCCTCCTCCTCCTCCTCCTCCTCCTGCTCCTGCTCCTGCTCCTGCTCCTGCTCCTCTTCCTCATCCTCCTCCTTCTTCTGCTCCTCCTCCTTTTCCTCCTCCTCCTCCTCCTCCTCCCCCTCCTCCCCGACGACGAAGAGTGTGCCCCAAGATTTCTGATAGAAAGATGTCTTACCGTGGAGGAGGAGGAGGAGGAGGAGGAGGAGGAGGAGGAGGAGGAGGAGGAGGAGGACGAGGAGGACGAGGAGGACGAGGACGAGCACGAGGACGAGCACGAGGACGAGGACGAGCACGACGAGGACGAGGAGGAAGAGGAAAAGGAAAAGAAGAAGGACGAGGACGAGAATATAGAGGGAGAGGAGGAGTTGGATGATGATGATGATGAGGAGGAGGAGGAGGAGGAGCGCGTCCAATTGCAACACCACCCAGAAGCCTTATCCGAACGGACGAAGTCTGGGCCCCCGCACGATCTGTTGGGCTCCCATATGCTTGTCGTCCACGGCCGCAGCCAGCTGCTGCGCTGGCAGTGAAGACTCGCATGTGGTCTGACGTGCTTCTGGATCGTGCTGACCTCTGGCTCCTGGTTGTCTTGGCGGCCCGTCCCGCTAGTCACCGCCAGAGGTGTCCTGTCTACTGACGAGCGAACCTGCTGCGTCAGTCATGGTCACTGTTAGAAATCCTTCTCCACCTCCTCCTCCTCCTCCTCCTTCGTCATCCTCCTCTCCTTCGTCTTCCTGCCTTGCAGCATGTGTTCTGCTTCAATGTATGGCTTTTCATGTTCATGATGCGCTCCGTCTTCCTCGTCTCTTCTCGTAAATCCCGAAGAGTTGTCGATCGCGCGATCTTCTGCCCACGCGTCCTTCAGTATGCTTGGCTCTGTGGTGGGTGGTGATGGCGAAGTTCTCCCGCTCTTTGTCACGGGGCCTGCAGGTGAAGGTACGATGACCTAAAGAGGGCGCGCGTGCAAGCTTTACACAGTGTGCGCGTCCACGCGCACGAGGGCGCAACCTGGTATCCTCCCTCCGCCTTGTTGCTGACACTCCTTACCCAAGGGAGGAGAAAAAAAAACACCCTGGCACGATAATTGGCGTTTACTAAGTCGCCTCGGGCGTTTACTGAACAGCCCCGCCCTGCTCGATTCCTTCTTTGGGTTCGTTTAAGAAACGGCCTCGCTTGTCGGGGTGGTTATTCGGGGCGGGTGTTGTTGCCTTCCATGTATGGGTTGATTCAGATCGCCCCGTGTTCCCATCCAGCCTCCCGCCGAACAGAGCGACGAGCGGATCAGCAGTCCGGCTCTGCGGCGCCTCTCCCCCCCCCAGAAGAAATGGGCGCAGCTTGGTTCGTGTTAAATCAAGCACGTCTCTGTACAGGGGATATGTTCCAAAATAGTCAAGAAATAGTGACAGAACAATTGTTTGATTATTTGTTGCGCAGTTTTGAATATTTTGGGGTAGGTATTATTTTTGGTCCAAAATCCGCCTGTAGGGGGGCACGGCCGACCTAAGGTCAGTGCTCTCAAAGCCTTGCAGCTCAGGGAGACGGGCAAAACGAACCTAAGCGTGATCAGGAAGATTTCGGGGTTCCCCCTTCATCTTCTTCGTTCCTCCCCCTTTCATCTTCATATCCCGATTCCTTCACCAGCTCGCACTGTTCTTACTCCCCCCCTCCCCCACAGCCTCCCCCCTCCCCCTCCCCCCATTCACTCCCCGGCACTCGGAGGAGAAGGGGCGCATGCACAAAGTGTTCAGCTCCAAGAAGTGCGACAGCTTAGCGATCGGGCGCGCCCACTCGGGGACCAGCATCTTCCTGGACGTCGAGGACCTTGGGATCACGGCCCTGCGCTTAGAAGGCGTTCTCGGGGCCCCCGGGCGGCCACTCTCTCTGAGTTTGGGCTTCTAGCGGCTCGTTTCAGGGACAGAGAGAGAAGACGCCGTGCATGTCAGCGGTGCAGGGGCAGGAAAATTGGCGCCGACGCGACTGCAACCGAACGCCGTGAAACATTTCGACCACCCCAGCGTCGCCAACTCCGTGGGCAGGGCGTGTCTAAAGAATCTGTACATGCACATCCCCCTCGCCATCAGGCCCCCCAAGGTGTACGACCTGGGAGAGCAACGGCAGTAGGAGGCAGAGGAGGGAACGACACCCAGGAACCAGGACAAGCCTGGAACCTGGGAAAGGAGAGAGCCCGCGACAGGGGACGACTGCCAAAAGGACGGGAAGAATGCGACAGAACAGGCGACAGCCTTGGGGACGAGCAGGAGGGGGCAGTATGCAGAGGAGCGACGCAGGACGACGGAAGGGGGGGCGACGGCGCCACCTGGAGGCCAGGCGAGCAGGGAAATTGAGGCAGCATGCCGCCTTGGACCACTCATCCCCTAAAGCACATGATAGAAAATCACAGGGTACAGCACATGGCAAGACGCACTGGACGTCCGAAAGACACGTGCACCATTGTGGGCGACATGAAGATTGAGATCGTACCGTACAGCGGGAAGGTCGAATATCTGGGGCGGCAGGTGAGCTTCGATCGCCCCCACGATGTGGATATCCATCCCGTAAAACACATGCTGAAGAATCACGACTCACGGGTACAAGAGCCGCCTGGCAGCTACCTGCCACGTGATTGGCGGGCCTTGTAACATTCCGTGCAGCGCGTTGGCGTTTCTGGCAGTTCTGACAGCCAATTCGTGGACTTGTCGGTTTCACGTATTTCGCGGCCGTCCCCTCTTACGCGGCCCGTCTTTCCTTGGCAGAGCGATGGAACACGGTCTAAGCACGCACAGCCGAATGTGGCCCTCTTTCGGGGGAGCTAAGATCAACAGGCAAACTTGCCTGTACGCAAGCGTGGCTCTAAATTTACAGCATACGCAGGTCAGCAAAACGGTCGCGTTGTAGACGTGGCTATAAAAGGAATGGCCGACTCCGGCCATTTTGCGCAGGCACCGTGCTTGAAAAGCGTCAAGTCTTTTGTTGTCAGGCACGATGAGCCACAGCGTATGAAGACTATGAAGACAATAATAAATTCAACTACGACGCAGCCCTCAAATATGGCCACCTGCTTCTGCCGTGGTATGTTTCTAGATTATGCAGAATGCGTGAAAACCGTTGCATGCCATGACAATCCTCCTCTTCGGTCCTGCACTGCTGGAGCCCGAAAATTCCAAAAGGCTCCCGAGGTACACAATGCTGCGTTTCTCGGGATCTGCGCGCCGTCGGGCCTGCGAATGTTTGTTTCGCAGCGTACGGACAGAGCTTTCAACTTGTCCCGGTCGAAAGCAAGACCGTAGTTATTGCCTTCTTCGTGGATCGCCCGCATCAGGGGCCACAAAAACCGATGAGTTACGAGCGCGAAACAAAGTTGACATTGTTGGCCCCTTTGCCCGTGCTGCCTTAATGTTTTCCTGCCTCTCTTTTTCATCTCTCTCTCTCTCTCTCTCTGCCTTCGGCAGCAGTTCTGACGCGGAGGGGGCCGCTCGTATGTCCCGAGCTGCCGCTTGCACCTCGTGGCCGGAGTTTTTGGGTCAGCCGCGGGGGCGCGAAGATGACCGCGCTTCGCGCGTCGCGGCCTGGGCCAAAAGCGGTTGCCCATCTCCGCGGCGGATGGCGCGAGGGCGCCAGGGCGCGAAGACGCTGGCGCACCGCGGGGCGCGAGGGCGCGACGTCGGGCGACCCGGGAGCTATTGCTTGACAGGGGCGACGAAGGGGGCGAATAGCCCAGGAGAGAGCAATACGTGTACACATTTGTTCATGCATAATTATTCGAAGAGTCGAGGGCCAAGACCCTTTCATCTCTAATTGTTCTATCCTGGGCCTCGTCCTGGCCACTGGGGGGCCAGGAACACTTGGAAACGCGCACAGCTAGAAATGAACACGATCAGAAAGGAACGACGTGTATCCAGGGGCCCCGATGGTCCATGCCTTCGGCAAGGCTCCTGGGCCAATATATGCAACGCCCGCCTCTCGGCTGTTCGCCCCTGTCGTCGCCCCCGAGATTGGCGCAGCAGCATATGGGGGGAGCGCGTGCTGACCGCCAGCTGCGCGGAGCGCCCAGGAAGGAGAGGCGGAGCTCCTCCTCCTCCTCCTCCTCCTCCTCGTCCTCCTCCTCCTCCTCCTCCTCCTCCTCCTCCTCCTCCTTCTCCTCCTCCTTCTCCTCCTCATCTTCCTCCCCCTGGCCAGGGCGCCGGAGGCCTAGGGAGGCCCGGCCCGTCGACCGACGGCCGGCATCGGGCGCAAGGAGGGGCAGTTTTCCAAGGTTGCCCCTGCATCCTTTCCCTTCGGCCCATCCTGGGCCGCTGTCGCTGGCCGCGCCCCGCTCGCAGAGTGTCGGCGAGGTCCCCCAAGACCCTTGCATCCTGATCGTGGGTCCTTATCATACGGGTTGACCATAGGACAGGGACGAATTCGTTCAAGAGAGTTTCGGAACGCTCTCGGAGCGTTCCGCAACGATCCGAGAAGGCCGCGGCGCCAGATACATCCTCCAGAACCGCCAGATCTCAGCGATGCCGGATTTCTCCTTGTCCGATGTTGTCCCTGTCTTGGTCACGTATGATCGAAGAACAAACAAAAATACACGGCACAGGCGCAAAATGTCGAAGCTCCGCGCGGAGCTCCGAAAGTTTGTGTTTGCGTTGTGTCTTCATTATTCTACCAGCGCGGGCAAGATGTATATCCAGATCCACATCGTCTCAGACTTCTGGACTCCCCTCTTGAAGCCTTGGACGCAGTGGATGTGGATAAAAGTCTGGCCTCTGGCGAAACCGCACTCTTGACGCTTCGCGTATCCCCACCGGCCCATCCAGAAACGATCGCCAGGCGAGCTGCTTTGACCAGGAATTGTAGAAGCATATGCACTAGACCAGCCGCCTTGGAATCGTGTCGCTGCGCAGAAACGGCGACCCTCCCCCCTCCCCCCCCATCCAGGGCACTCCTCCTCCTCCTCCTGCTCCTCCTCTTCCTCCTCCTCCTCCTCCTCCTCCTCCTCCTCCTCCTCCTCCTCCTCCTCCTCCTCCTCCTCCTCCTCGTTCTTCCTCCTCCTCCCTCTTCCCTCCTCCTTCTTCTCCTCTCCTCCTCCTCCTCCTCCTCCTCCTCCTCCTCCTCCTCCTCCTCCTCCTCCTCCTCCTCCTCCTCCTCCTCCTCTCCTCCCCCTCTCCTCCTCTCCCTCCTCCTCCTCTCTCCTCCTCCTCCTCCTCTCCTCCTCCTCCTCCTCCTCCTCCTCCTCTCCTCCTCCTCCTCCTCCTCCTCCTCCTCCTCCTCCTCCTCCTCCTCCTCCTCCTCCTCCTCCTCCTCCTCCTCCTCCTCCTCCTCCTCCTCCTCCTCCTCCTCCTCCTCCCCCTCCTCCTCCCCCTCCCCCTCCCCTCCCCCCCCCCCTCCTCCATTTCCTCCTCCTCCTCCTCATCTTCCTCCTCCGCGGGAACATCTGTCGAATGGTTTACACAACACATGCTCCCGTGCCGCGGCACCACGTGGGGGGCGCACCCGCACTGGGCGCGAGAGGGGGGCGAGGTGCCGACACCCCGAAATTTGAAGTCGGGCATGTCCCCGTGCAGGATGAGTAGTTCGAAGGCTGATAGACCTTAGCAAATTGGCCGTGTTCGGTTCGCGAGAGGGCGTCGCGGCCGTCATTTTTGCGGGTCCAGGTCCATCGGTGTTGGTCCCTGGCCGTTTTCACTAAAAGGCGCTTTACTAAAGGAAGGTTTGTCCACCGCCGAATATTGAAAAATTATCAAAAAATCGTCAGGGGGACGAATTTCTTCTACTTTGGGGTATTTTTGCGTATTCTTGGGGGTATGTTTTATTTTCCTCCGGAATCCGTTTGTAGGGTGACACGCCCGACCCAACCCGAGATCCTGGCGTGGCAATTTTTTTTCGCAACGGGCGTGCTCGCCCGGTTTCGGACCCCGAGGCCCTCACATCGGGAAAACGTCAGACGCGAGTACGCCGGATTTCGGGTTTGCCGACGCTCTTTGACGATCGTGGGATGTCTGCAGCGAGAGCTCGCGTCAAATTTCAGACTGGGCCTCGCCATTTTCACGATGGCCCCGTCAGGCCAGCCCGAGTCCCCCGAACCCGAGCCCTGCGTCTCCCCGACCACAGATCCACGGGACCCAGTCTGGGGCCCCAGGGCCGTGTTCCGCACAGGTTGGCGCACAGAATCGGATTCACGCGCCGCGGCGCCACCGCTCTGCCCCGCGCAGGGCCGTCCCCCCTTGGGGACGCTGTGGGCGCAGCCTTCGCCTCAGCCTCAGGACCCTCACGGGTCCATCTGGCTCGAAAGATGACGCAGACGGGTTGCGTGCGGGGCTCCGGCCGCGATCTCTCACGACGTTTCGCTTCTCTTTCGCCACGTCGGATCTCCCAAGGGGCGGTCCTCGCGGCCGGAGGCGGGGCCAGGGCGCGAAGGCGCGCTCGATGGACGAGGGTGCCCTCTCGGCGGCTACAAGTCGGGGTCGTCGAACCGGCCCCTGTCCCCATCTCCATCCCTGCCCGGACCCCCACCGCGTCGGCACATCAGTTGGGGATGTGCCCTGGAAGTCCGAAGGAGGCGGCCCACCTCCCCATCGAGGGGGGGCAGGCGGCCAGAGGGGGGGCCCAGGCCCCGCGTCCGTGGGGATGGGGGTCGGTCTCACGATGCTTGGCGCTCCGCGCGGATTTCGTGGATCCGCGCTGGGCCCCCCCGGCGGCGCCTGCAGCGCCAGGGGCGGCGCAGTTTCGTTCGTTTCTTGGCTCCGCGCGCCAGGGAGGGGGGGGCTCCGCGCGCAGATCCAAGAAGTCCGCGCGGAGCGCCAAAAGTTTGTGTTTCTGCCGTTTCTCCTTCTTCTGCTCAAGGTCCTCGGCCCGCACCTCGGGGCGCGGGTTGCAAACGGCACGCGTTGCAGACCACGCCCTTCGGAGTCGCCGGCCCTCCGTCGAGGAACATACGGTATGGAGTGGTGGAGGAAGCGAAAGGAAGAGGAGGAGGAGGAGGAGGAGGAGGAGAGGATGTTCTGGGAAAACAAGAACCCCACTCAGGATGTGGGGAAAAATTGCACATGCACACGCAATTTCTCGGAGCTCCGCGCGGCTCTCCTGGGGTCGGCGCGCCGGTGCCGCTCTGGCAGCCAGAGCGCAGGGTCCACTGGACCTGCGCTCTGGCTCCTCGCGGATTTCCAGAGGAAATCCGCGAGGATCTCCGAGAAGTGATGCTTCTGCCGCCCTCTGTTCCTCGACTCCTCCGAGGTCAGGGGCGACACGAAGGTCATCTTCTACGACAGGAGCCCGGGCCTCGCGAGCGAGGGCCGCAGCGAGTGGGGGTCGGACCCCACCCCGTAGCGGGCGAAGCACGGCAGAACATGGGCTTTTGCGCGGTCCGGGACGCCTGCCCCAGGCCGGCTGGAAAGCTTCCCCAGGCCCGCCCACCGCAGGGACATCACCTTCCCAGCCGCCTTGGTACAGGCGTCCCCGATTGTGGAAGAGCTGTTTCTCTTGCACAGTTGTGTTCTAGGGCTCGGAGCCCTTGATTTTTGTCGTTCGTTCGTTAGCTCGTCGCCTCCCCCAGGCCCTCCTGCGCCTGCTTCCTCATCATGGTCACGGTGGCCCCCAGAGAGCAACCCCCACACACACCCTCCTCACCCCGCTGTGTCGGGGTGTACAGCGGGAACAACCGATCGTAGGGTAGAACCTGGGCAAGAGGTTTGAGCATAGGGCAGAGACCGAATGGCATGAAGCGTGCAAGAGCCAGGGCAGGCGTGCCTCTTGCTTGAGACCCCCCCTTCTCCGGAGGGGAAGAAACACACAGACACAATGTTAATCCTCGACTCCCCCGAAAATGTGGGAAAAGATGGGAAGTGGAAGACAACAACCCAGAACAGATTGGGAAAAATATGGGTAGCCCTGTTACCTGTGTGTACTTCTTTGTGCGTCCTTGGGGCCCCTCCACCTTCGCCCGCGAACCTTTGGGGGCCTCCGAGGAACATCATCACCCCCAGCGCCGCGGTCTGCGCGGCCGCCCCCCGGAGCGCCCAGGGGGCAGGCGGCCCGGTGGGCGGCCACGGGCAGGCCCTCCGGCCACGAGGGCTCCTGCGCGCGCGCACGGGTCGGTGCGTCCGGCGCGGACGGCCCTTCGAGCCGGCGAGGGCGTCGGCCCAGGCATCCAGCGTCTCGAGCAAGATCGAGACGGAGGCTTTTTTTTACGGCTGTCGGCCGCTCGGGGCCCTTAGCCCAGGAGGGTCTTCGATGCCGATGGGCCCCCACCCCCCGAGCTCTGGGTTGGCAATTGGATTCGTCCTTCCCCTCGTCGTTCTTCCCCCCATCGTCATCATCATCATCATCGTCATCATCATCAGCATCAGCATCAGCATCATCATCATCGTCGTCGTCGTCATCATCATCATCACCATCACCTTTTGGGGATTTGCATTTCCGCGATCATCAGCGGCGCCCGCCGCGGGGGAAGAATTATTCTCCCAGTATTGTTGGGGGTCCCAATCCGTCAGTAAGCCCGCGCAGAAATCATGATTCCCCCCCCTTATTGGCGGGGAGGTTGTTAAGACCCATTGCGGTTACCTGGCCAAGGGACTGTCGAAAACAACGCAGGATCAAAAACCAGTCCCAGGGAAGTGGTCGAGAAGCCTTGAGTATACAGTCGAAACCGACGGTAAGGATGGGTAACCTTCCCAAGGGTGCCGTTGCGTCCGTGCCTCTTTGGTCCATCCTTGACGACTCTCGGAGGCCCGCCGCGCTCGGAAAAGCTTCAACACGGGCGCCCAAGGGACTTGCGTCCTTATCGCAGACCTTTACTATCAGTCTTGATCGTATGTTGGAGCGCCGAGGGACCTGGGCCCCCTGTCAAGGGGCCCAAAGCCCAGTCGGAGCTGGCGTCCTCCACCCAGCCCCTGGCGGCAGGCATGTCCACAGATTTGTGGAGGGCCGAACCGAGAGTTGCGCGGGCACCCGGCTGTTTGGGGGCGGTTCCTCGGACAGAGGAGGAGGAGAAGAAGAAGGGAGAAGCAGGAGGAGGAGGACGAGGAGCAGAAGAAGAAGAAGGAAAAGAAGAAGGGAGAGGAGGAGAAGGAGGAGGAGGAAGAAGAAGGAGAAGACGAAGGCGAAAGAAGAAGAAGAAGGAGGAGGAGGAGGAGGAGGAGGGGAAGGGAAAAGGGGAGGGGGGGAGGGGGAGTGGAAGGGGGAGGGGAGAGGAGAAGGAGGGAAAGAGGATGAGGGGGAGGGGGAGGGGAGGGAAGGATTCTCGGGAAAGGAAGATGAGGGGAGGAGGAGGAGGAGGAGGAGGAGGCGAAGGAAGGGCCTGCCTGGCCGCTCATGCCCCACCTTCCCCCTTGGGCCCTCGGCGGTGGCCAGCGCGGACCACGGCTTCAGCAACAGGATCTGGCCGTGCGCAAAGGCGTCCCCTCGCCAGAGTGACCTTTGGTGCGCGGCGTTCGGCGGCCGGAGGAGGAGGA